CCCAGGGAGGCATAGGATATCATTCAAAGATCACATTAAAATCTCTTGCATGTGAGTTTTGGGAGAACAATCCCTTTATGTACAGAGAGAATGTAAATACATTCTGTCTGTGAACTATGGTGCCATTTAGCAATCTGTACTGAAATAGAGGCTGTGATGGAGGTGTGTGCCTCTGATAAACGCTTGTGCAACTTTTTTTATGTGGAAGAGTTAAGGCATAGTGGGGAGGTCAAACTTTTACCTTTCTCTAGCTAAGAAAATGCATTATTAAACTCACAGGAAGTGACCATGCACTGATTAGAATTTCTTAGAACTTACAGCTTTCTTTTTATTTTCCTACATTCTTATTTGCTTTACTTTGTGTAACAAACCTGTAAACTGCCTGAAGAAGAAATGAATCTATTTTTGTGTATGTGGAAATACAGCTGTGTTTAGCGTTGTCATTGACAGATGGCTTGTGATAATATGTGCCAGATGAAGAGCTACTTTGGAATTAACATGGCAATTCATTATAATCACAGAGACAACATAAGAAAACAGACCAGACATCACTAGAACTGTCCCTTACTGAAGATACTGCTTTGTAAGAGAAACTGGAGTTAATGGCAGAGCCATTAGTCAATTAATGATAACAAAGTTCAATGTAGATGATTTTGCCTCTTCAGTGAGTTTTAAATTAAATTTTGTGTTTTAACTGATATATGTAATGCTGTGACCTATATGCATTTTTTGAATCTATTTATTAAAAAAACATACAATGAATAGTGGTAAAATTAATGCTCCTCAATGATTGCTGTTCATATGTCGTGATTTGGGTACAAATTTTTCATGTAACTATTTCAATAAACAAACAAATGCACTCTGAAAATATCTGAGGAAAAATGTACCAGTTTCAACTGAAAAAAAAAAAAAAGTATCCCAGGTATTATTGGAAATAGAGTTTTTAAAATGTTAATATATTGTAACAGCTGCTGTATTTATGCTAATATAAAGAACTCTTTGACTGTGTTTTTGAGTCCTGTACCTTTAAGAAATGTGGTGCATTTTTGCTACTCACAGCTCTTGTTTATTAGATAATTGAAAATGCTGCCTTTTGGTGGGAAGCTTTAAACCAGAGGCACGGGTTACAGACTGATGTTGAAGTATATAGATTACTGGACTGAAGATTATTTTGAGGTGGAAAAGCTGAAGAATGACTCTATGATACATAAACATAGTAAATTTTTGTTTTTCTAGAACCATATGGCCTGATAACAAAATGTTTATTTGTTCATCAAAATAAGCCATTTTTACTATTTTGTATGGTACGTTATATTGTATTCCTTTCCTTAGGTAGGTGTAAAAGTACAGGAGAGAAACAACCCTCCTGCAATGTATTTATTGATTTTCTTTTGAACGGTTAAGTGGGAATAAAAAAAGCAAAAAAATCCTGTAGTTTTACAGTTTCAGTCATTTTTAATGTCTTCTACACTCCCACAATGGGAAGGGACAGGGCTGATGTAGCAATATAGTGTAACCTTCCAATGAAGTGATAGCTGGGGCAGTAGTAGTAATCTGATGTGGAATGGAGATGCTTGTGGGAGTAGGCTTTCATTTATTTAACTTCTGTGTTAATGTAATGTTTTAATTCTTTCATCCATTTTGTGTTTGAAAGGCATTGCTATGTTCCAGCTCTATTATGAGTAGCTTCGAATTAATTAGCAAATGCACTTTGTAATTGCTTGTTATTGGCATTTAAAATAACAGTTAGCTGTTATGGAAAGTGTTGAACTTCATTTTTTATGAAAGTGTAGAAGAGCAGTACATTATGTATTGGATGATTCACATGATGCTTTGGGATAATGCCAAAAAAGGAGAATTTAGAGCTTGGCCAGAGGTCCATTTAAGATTACAGGCTTATGAATTTTGAAGAAATAGCTGGAAGTCCCCAGTCTAACCTTATGCTCAAAGCAGTGTAAGGTAGCATGGCTTGATCAGTTCTATGCCTAGCTTAGCTGAACATGCAACCTCTTTGGGCAACCTGCTGCAGTATTGTACTGCCTTCACACTGGACAGCTTGCTTTCATTAGTTAGCCTTTACTGTAGTATGCTGGGTTGAGTGACTTTGTTTCCCCTTTAAATTCTTAATAGGTAGCTGGTGACTGCAGTAATGTATATCACTGTTTCCACTCCTGTTATTCTCTGTGGAAGACTGAATTCAACTTCCACATCTTTTGAGACATCCTGTGCTTCAGCCGCCTGTTCACATCTGCAACCTGTCACTAGACTTGCTTCAGTGTTTCAGTGTTTGCTTTGTGCTGGGTAACTCAATGCTGGATGTGGTTGCAAGTGTGGCCTTGAGTGCTGAACAAAGGTTAAGAATCCTTCCCTTGAACCACCAGCTATGTATTTGTAAGAACAGCTCAGTAAACAGTTGGCTGCCTTCGTCACAAGAGCATAGTACTGAATCCTATACAATTTGCTGTGCAATAGTATTCCATCCTGTTTGTTCTAACCATCTAGATGACTATGACCAGCCCGAGTGGGATGATTGTCTTAGGTGCTGGATGGTGCATTTGCTCCAGCTTAAACTTGTAAGAGTACTGCCAGCTAATTTTTCCAGTATTCTGAAGTCCCTCAGAACAGCATCCCCTCTTCCTTTGCGTAATGACTCTTTCCCTTCCTATGGGTTCTTCCTGCACCTCTAGTTTAGTATTGTTGTAAACAAGCTGAGAGTGCACTTTATATCATCAAGGTTACAAACAAAACAGTTAACCAGTTCAGGTCTCTGAACAACACTACTTGTTTCCAGATAGATTTCTTATCAATAATGACCATTATTGGAAGTCCAGCCCAATTTCCATTAATCTTAGTCCAAATAGTCAATCCTAATTGACTATTAGCAGGACACGGGATAATGGCTGCAAGCTGTATCAGAGGAGGCTTAGGGTTAGACATAAGGAAGAACTTTTTCTCTCAGAGAGTGGTCAGGCACTGGAACGGCCTGCCCAGAGAGGTGGCGGAGTTGCTCTCCCTGGCAGTGTTCAAGAGGCGTCTGGATGACGTGCTGCATGATATGGTTCAGTGCTAGTGGTGGCAAAGGTGATGAGGAGTCGGTTGGAGTAGATGATCTTGTAGGTAGTTTCCAACCATGTGATTCTATGATTCTAATTTCATCAATTTGAGCATAACTTTTTTTTTTTTTTTTTGCATGTTCCTGTCTCAACTGCTCCTGAGAAGGAGGTGACAAATTCCATGTTTTATAGGTGGTCTGTCTTCATGTGACTCTTTTAAGATGAGTTACTGCACCTACTACACACAGTATAATTACACTCACCTTAAGAACTTCAAGTTTTCTGTTTCACATAGCTTTTCTTCACTTCTGAGTCAGATAGCAAAAGAGATTACCATGCATGCCCCAACTGGTCTAATTTAAATAAAGACCTATGAATATGGCTTCTACTTGATAAAATTCCTTTACTAAAACATATTTTCAAAGTAAGTTGGTGTGAATAAAGGTGGAAAACTGGGTACTTAACACTTTGGCCTTGTTTTCAAGAGAACAGCTCCACTGTGACCTCATATAATTCCTACCACACTACTCCAGTATTGATTCTTGCATACCATAACTTCTTACACTGATATGTGTAAGAATATAAGGTGATATATATATAATGTATATAAGGTGATATATAATGATATAAGAACTTCTATCAGTAGTATGTTATTCATACTACCTACATTTGGGAAACATGACCTCTGTTCATTACTACATGAGGAACTAGGTTTCCACAAGTGTTGGGAGCCACAAAAACCATGACAAAAATCACAAATAAAATTCTGCAGCACTAGCATTTATCTTTTCAAGAACAACAGCCAATCCTTCTGAAAAATCTAATTTTCAAGGTGTGTACGAAGGGGAGATTTTATTGTAAAGAAAAAGTAAAACAAAACTCCTAAATATTTCTAAAGCATAGAAGTTGAAATTTTATAGATACATCTTTTAAGTACATGTCAAAAACCACAGAAGTATGTGGAGTATTGCTACTCAATAGTTAATTCATCTATATGTCTTATCTCTTACAGCTGATCAAAATAATAGATGTTTTCCTATTCTTGTCTTTTCTTCAAATTTTCGATTTTATTTCTTATACTTTATTTTTAAAGATGTGCCATTCACATTTGCCCATTTTTCAAATGTAGCTGTAGCAATTAATATAATAATTCACTTAAAGTAATTTTAACTTTTTTGAATAAGTGTATGGCTGGCAGGCATCATTTAACGCAATTATTTTTGCTGTAGGGATTGAACATCACCCAATTCATTTCATTTCTATCTAGCTGTGAATGAAGTCACATAATCAGAAATGTGGACTATAAAAATATCGATCAAACCATTCTGAGTGGGGTAACCATCAGAAAATATGACGGAATACTGTCAGAGGACCTCTAAGGTTAATTGCTTTGGCAAGCTCTGTAAGATAGATGAAAAGTTGGCTCACTGACTGAGGAGAGCCTGTATTGGCACATTTCTGAGCTTAAACAAATCATTTTTGTTAGCATCCAATTCTAGTTAAAGAACTCTGTTGATTGCTCAGTTTCAAAGGTTAAGTATTTAAAGCTATCATAAAGAAAAAAACTTTTTTAGAAGATCAGCACTGGGGAGAGAAAAGATCAACTATGTTCTCATTTAAGTTGAGCAAGGAGTCATGCACTGTAACCGGTATTTGGTATTGTACGTACAAAAGCACAAAAGCCTATTCTAAAACAGTAGCTCCACCTTCTGTTTCAACAACAACAACAACAACAACAAAAAAAAAAAAAAAAAAAAAAAAAGGCAGAAATGTGGTCAAGCACTACTTCATTTTAGACTTAATGGTGGATCTGAATAGTTTTAACTTCACAAGCTATGCTTCAGAGCCCAAACAGGTACGCTTAAACATGAATAAAGACAAATTTAATGGTGAATACTGTTAGCATGCTCTGTTGTATTATGTCAAAAACAATCCTTTCCCAAATGCCCAAATAAAATCAAATGATTGTGCATTGCATGATGATACCATTAGATGTGCAACTTTGGTTCATGCAAAGTTTCATTTGATAGACACATTGCTGATAGTCCATATAATCCTGAAGATTCTGCATATGTAATCTTTTCATCCATGTTCTTTCCATAACACCAAATGGATACTGTGGTCTGGCATACTGGTGGCAAAAACCAAGCCTGTATCATTTTGACCATTTAGTCCATTTAACCAAGACATTTCACCAGCCAAAAAACTTGAGCCTCTCTTTGATTTTCTATACTCTGGTAGAGGCCAGCGGCTTATCAGTTCTTCTGTCCTCAAGTCTATTATATACAGGTATCTATTATCAAACAGTAGAGCAAATATCTCTCCAAAGCCCAGCAAGGACACATTTGAGAAGTCAGGAGTCTTGATAACCCTAGAAGATAAGGCAGTATTGTTAGAAACTGATAGATTTCACTAACATTCCACCCAGTTACTGAGAATGACAGATCTCAGTTCAGCAGTGCTATAAGGAAATGGTCTTTTAAATATCGTTTCCCATCAAATGACTCCCAGAAAAGGTCTTCTGCTTCACTGCAGAGCAATTCCCATAGCAACATTAGCTTCTTGTCACTACAGCTTTGTGTTCAAAACTATAGCAATGCAGCCTGATTCAAGTCTATTTAAAAAAATCTGAAACTCACATATTGAAAATATGAAAGAGGTTTGGCTTGTGACCAGAAATCAAAACAGCAATCAAATGGTTGGTACAATTAGAGATAAATTAGAGTGAAACCTGGCAATATTTGTGAAGAATGATGTTTAAAGATTTTTTAATCGATATCCTTTTGAATGACATTTAAAGCATTAAAGCTAACATGCTACAATTCTTATTTTTTTTAAAAGCATGCCTTGAGAATAAATTCTGCACATCTTAAGCTGAAACACTTACCTGACAATATCATAGCTGGCAAAATCCCACTGGTATAATCCTAGTGCTGAACTGCACACTATGTATTTACCATCAAAGTGCAATCTGGGCTGTAGAGAGATGCTGCGATCTTCAGAAACAGACAGTGTTTTTAAACACTTGCAGTTTATTTCCCTTCCAATAGGCCAAATCTAGAGTTAGAAAACAGTTTAAGACCATAAAACATTCAAATTATAAACTTCTACACAAATTAAACAAGGCTTATAGTCTCATGTAAAGCAGGAGGTAAATGTGTGCCTGTTTTTCAAAAATATTTATCTTCTTTAATGGGAACATCAGCTCTATAACTGACTTGTAACACATAGCCATGAACTATTTACATACAGCATCCTCCAACCCAATAGTTTGCAACAATAGCAGTATTTGCAGTAAGTGTCTCACTGACAAGTTAGCGTACTAGGGATACAGTAAAAAACACTTATATTTTGACTTTTATTATATGTATTGATCTACTATTTGTTTGTAAGCATGAAGGAAATCAGTGAATAGTTAGCTTCCGAAGAGTTTTTTTGTCTTGTACATGTCTTCAAAAGCGAGGACTATGAGAGAAAAAAGCCCCGTATTATGTTCGAATCACAGAAGCACTCAAGTATTCTGCTTCCTTGGATACTGCAATGATACATGTACAATATATGGTACATACCTTGATTTCATACTTATCTGCACTTAAAAGAATATAATCCCCAGGACTATGCATAAGAGATTTGACTTTGCACTTCTGCAAAACTACCTGTAATTGAAGGATTTAATGACTTATTTTGATGCTGTTAACTAACCAAGCATTCATTTGCATTGTCCATTTTGTTACAAAACAATACACCACACACATGGTCAAAAGACATACAGATGCTTATAGCATGTAAAGGGAAACTACCATTTACACTTGCTTGCTCCTAATAGTAAGAACTTTTTGTATATATAAGCTAACACATGTACTTCTCCACAATTCTGCTCTCAATGCACATTCCAATTTCTGAAATGCTTGTAAGTGAAATACCTTTTCTAAACCTCAGAACACTTTATGCTTAGATTTTGGTTATCATATTCATTAGTTTTCTATATAATTTTAAAAGTAGCTTTCTTTCTGAACCACTGCATTCATTTGATCTTTCAAATGCTGATTCCTAACATTATTCCAGCTACTTCAGAACAGAAATCTCTTCAATCCCCTGAAAAGTTTAGTTACATCTTTTCTTTCTGTTTAAACATTATTTTGCAATATCTACATGTCCTGATCTTCTTCATATTCTATACCTAGGGGGAAGACAGGTATTAGAAATAGAAAGGTAGAACAACTTGCAAACTTCATGCAAATATTCACCAAGATTAATACAAAAACAATATTCCCACCTTAGTGACCCATTCTGTATGTCCAGTAAGGGTATTCAGGCACGTTCCTGTTGATAAGGCCCACACTTTCACAGTGAAGTCTGCAGAGCCACTGACAAGAACATCAAGTTCATCGTTGTAGTCCACACTAAAAACTATAAGCAAAGAGGGTTCTCAAAAGCAGCAACAGTCTCCATGTATGCTTTTTCCTGTGATACTGTAACTAGGTCAAAATTCACTATTACAGCTTTAACTGTTGCTCTTGAACTGTACACGTAAATTATTACTCTATTCCTGAGTTTACACTGCAAAATTACCAGCTGTTTGTTCAAATTAAAAGCATGAAGATCATTGGTTCCATTAAGGCTGGATTATGTTTAGGTTCCTATCCTAATAGTTCTAAGAAATCAACTCCAACAGAATTATTAAATTGATACATCTCATTTCTCGTGGAGAACAGACCTACAGTTGAGTGGAGGATATTCTCTGGTAGAGGACAGAATTAAGACAGAAATGCAAACACAGATCCCCAGGCTTGATTGTGCTCTTTCCTATAAGACTATCTCCAGTGTGGGAATTTAAAGAACTCCCACTGTCATGTGCTCCCTGCTAACAGGTGATAAACAAGGCTTGCATCTTTTACTCTAGACTCTAAAGCACTAAATCACCATGACAGTTAGTACTGTTTCTACACCTATAAAACAATATATGACTATGTTTTGGTGTTATTCAAGGGCAGACAGATCTACATCTATTCTGGCCACTTCCCTCCCACAATGTGATTTGAGACAGAGCCTTAAAAAACTGTGGACAAAGCTAACATAAATTATAATCTGTTCTATGATGACATATGTTACTTGACTGACGAAAATAAAATCTGAGATATTCAACATACCTGCACCAGTGTGTCCTCTGAAATGCTGTGTTTTTGCCCCAGAGCTCCATTCCCAGCAGGCTACTGTGTTATCAAAAGAGCCCGTTACAAGTTTTTGTTCATCAAACTTCACTGTGGCACAAGTGTGTGTCTGGATACCATAGATGCATTGACCTGTGCTTACATCCCACAGTTTTGCAGACAAGTCATCTGATCCTGGAATATAAAACAATAGGATAATTGGAAACAAATACTAAATAAAATTACTAGTCTTCCATGTATGTCTTAGTTATGGAATTTTCACCAAATCTCTGAAGAGATAAACTCACAACCTCTCTGAGCAACCTGTGCCAGTGCTCCATCTAATGCTTTCACCTGCATTTCCTTTCTCCACCAAAACTTATAACAGTACTCGAGTTTGCTGGTTTTGGAGACCGGACAAAAATCCTAGATACTTCCACCTCCTTTTTCCCTTTTGGTTTCAGCACAGAAGTATGCAGCTTCCCAGTAAGGTCTGACCTATTCCTTTGTATTTTCCTTCCCTGGTTACTAGTAAAGTGAAAAGACTGTCTACAGTCTAGTCACAGGTTTCTAGTAACCACCCTGGTGTACCTGAAGATGTGGAGGGATGTGTATTTCTGAGTTCACACTGAAATCTTGAAATCGGCAGTCTTCAGGAGAAACCATCACTGCAATATGCATATTGGATTAGTAGCAAGGTTAAATCTAGTTAAAGGTATTCATACAAGGAACTAGTCATGTTAAGAACTGAAAGTGCTTAAGGATGTAAAAGAGAAATAATCTTATTGCCAGGAAGCCAGACTTTTCCTGACACACCTTGAGACTACAGTGACCACACTGTGAGACCAAACTCCATTTAACCTGAATGAGATCGCAGATAACCCCTAAGAGGATACCTAACACAAATGTACTTCTCCAGTGAGATTGCTAATCTGAAACTGAAAATTTGAAAAAAAACAGTACTGTAACCATTTCTTTTTTTGACAAATAAATAAATTGGTCTCCTGGTTTTGTTTTTTTTTTGTTTGTTTTGTTTTTCCTATTAAATATTTAGCGAGCTTGATAGCATACCAGATATTTCAGAAATTGGAGGGAAAAAAAAAAAAAAAAAAAAAAAAAGTGAATTGCCCTAAACTGAGTTTGCCCTATGAAAATAATCTGTCTCCTCAAGAAAAATCAACTTATCATTAATCAAGTGGGGGAGCTGGGCAGTACAGATAACAAAGAAGAGTAAGACTCCAAGTTTTCTGAATTTCCTACCTGTGCACAGAAGACCATCTTTATAGTAAAGTGCATACACTCTGGCACTGTGTCCAATTAAAGAGGATGTCTCAAAAGCTTCGTGGTCCTTCAGTTGCTTCATCCTTAAAATAGCCTTTAGGTAAACCTTCTTCCAATGCAGAGGATCCTGAACAGAGTCATCTATTTGCCAACCCAAATTCTTACATGCGGTTTGCCACACCTCTGTACAGGCACTTATAACCTTATTCCACTGCTTAGAGACGAGGCAACATGTGAGTAAGGTGTGAGGATCAAGCCATTTTAACAGATAAAAACTAAGTTCCAATGGAAGAAGTTTGAGGAAGTCCCTCTTGAGAAGAATCTCTAGATTATTGGAGAGGTGCCTGAGCTGGACTGCTCCACTCAAGCTAATCAGGTGATCCAGAGTTTCATTTTTCTGCAAGTCCGTCAGAGAAAGAAATGTAATAGAAATGTTATCAAGCCATGCTTCAAAGTCCTTTTTCTCCATAAGGTTATGGAAAAATTTACCTGTGGTACATCAAAACACTGTATTAGTTCTGTTCAGAAAACAAGGTAAGCATCACATCATTATTACTGGTACATCAGTACTTCAAATGGCATGTTAAAGCACAGACTGAAGTAACCAATCACAGCACAAAATATTCATTAGGTTAGTATGAAGCATTTGCACATACTTCGACCTACTGTCTTACTTAAGACTTAGAAGTGAGTTGTACAAGACAATGCATGCTAGCATTCACTATGAATGTTTACATATTTCATGTAATGAGTTAACATTTTCACATTCTGAATCTAGTAAGAGTTGATCAAGTTTTAAATCTACTTTAGTGAATAAATGCCGTTTTACAGTTTACTTATCATTTAGTTGAAAAAAGGAAGAAAACAAAGCATAAAAACAGAATAATAAGAGGATAATTACTGACTGAATTAACTCAGACTCTTGTCATAACTACTTCATAAAAAATTACCTGGTTTGCACTTAAAGAAGATACAAAGAGATGTCTGGAGAATCGTGTTGAAGGACACGTAGCCTCTTTTGTATCTCCTTGATGTCTTTTTTTTTTTTTTCCTTATAAAACAAACTTCCCCTCCTCCTCACCCACCTTGTTTTCTGTTTATTTCCAATAAACAGGCCTGTGAAACTGACAGCTCGAAATGCTAATTCTCAGTCTATGTGACCTGTATTTATTTTTGTATGCTGTGGCATTTCAAGTTCCTACAATAGATTTGAGCAAATGATTAAAAAGATGAGCATGGGGCAAACAACTAAAAAGCTAGATTTATTTTCTGTGGGAGATCTCATTCAATGCATTAGATATCTAATTGAATTTAATTCATAGAAGCTCCCAAATCAAATGAATTGAGGAATGTAAATGGCAGCTCACAATACATATGCTTTTACCTTTGTAGAATAAAACCTTGAAGTACATCTCTAAATGTGACACAGAAAAGTATAGAAGAGTCTTCACTATGAAAGGCTACAAACGTAAAGACATATTACTTCTTGATAATTTTGTAAGGATTATATCTTAAAGATAATAATCTTAAGGCCTTCTGAATTAAACAGAAACAGCTGCTCCTATCGAGTTAGAAGTTCATAAGTAACTTTTACTACTGACAAAACTTAAGGGCTTTCTTCAGCACATTCGGCAAACTGTGTTTGCCACTCTAATAGGCACGTGTTTTCTTAAGAACCAGCAATCTCTAACTGCAGCCAGTGCCATGTGCACACTGCTCTACGCGTTATCCGCAACCGCTCCACTCACGGCCACTCCCGCCCTGCTCCGCTCGCACAGAGCACGGCGCAGCCCGGACACTTTCAGCGCCTTCCGCCCACGCACAGTAGAACCATCGGCACCGCCCACACTGCTCCAGTGGGCCGCGGCGCTCACCTCAGGTAGCGGCAGGGCGCGCAGCGTCCCTCAGCAGGCAGCCGCCACACCTCGAACGGTCCTCCGTGGCCCGGCAGGGGCTGAGGCTTCCCCGCGGCCATCGCTCCCACAGCAGGACAGTCTCCCGCTACTTCCGCGGTCCGCGCCGCGGCCTGTGGACACCCATGGAAGGCTGCCGCCCTCGGACAGCGATGGAAGCCTCGGTCACCTCCAGTCCCGGAGGAGGGGCGGGGCCCCTGCACCGAGTGAACCAGCCGTCACCCCGAGGTGAGGCACTCCACCAAAGCCCACGGCGCTCCGTACTCAGGCAGCTTCCGGCGCATCCTCTAAACGTCACTACGCCCCGCTGTCTCACTTTAGCCGTTTCCGTCTGAACTGGAGCCGTAAAGCGCTGCGTTACTTCTCTGCATTCGGCGCCGTGCGCGGGTTGGAGCCTGCCCTTTGGGGTGGCTGCCGCCGGCCGTCCAGAAACTGCTGAGATTATTGGCGCCGAGGCGCCCTCCCGCGGCTGGGACATGGCGGCAGAGGAGTCTCAGTACCTGCTGGCTCATCCTACTACGGACGCTTACCTGAGGTGAGGATTGGTGCTGCGTCTCTTCCTCTGGCGGGCTTAGGGGCCGCCCCGTTGCGCTGGAGCTCGGCTGCTGCGGATTTCGATGGCGCGGGGGGGGAACGCGGAAAATGTGACGTCTGGGTCAGAGCTCCATCCGCGCGTTAACGGCCCCATGAGGGGCCGGAGCCGCGAGGGGGCGGCGGCACGATCCTTGTCGGTATCTTCCGTCTCAGAGTGCAAAACAAGAAGCTGTACCTGGCCACGTTCGCTGCTGTCCTGGGACCGCTTAGCTTTGGCTTCGTGCTAGGCTATAGCTCACCTGCTATTCCAGAGCTGAGGAAAATTGGCAATCCGAAATTACGGTTGGACAGCAATCAGGCATCATGGTTTGGGGTAAGTTTCTGTATGATACATCACTCTCTTGTGATTTTCCGTCGTGGTGTGAAGAAGATGCTGTTTACATAAAATCATTAAGTTTGGAAAAGACTGCAGAGATCATCAAGTCCGTCACCCTCATGCATGTTCCTCAGTGCTGCATCTTAAGGCATTCTAACTCCTCTTAAGAATGAATATAAATGAGGATTTTGATAATGATTTTTTGTTGTCACCTCAGTAATTGATTCCGTTTTTTCCTAAGTAATACTACTGTTATACTCCGCTAACTTCGCACATATAAATAAATGCCGTTATTTTTGTAACTTTTTTGATACTATAATGTCTTATGTCAACTTTTAATCTCCTTAATTGAAACTGTCAAGGGACCACAGAAAATCAACTTGTGAATAAATTGGGTGCAATCCATTGACATAGGGAATATCAACTTTTGGGGTACAGGCTGGACTTCAGTTTATTCATGATAATCTTTCAGTCTTCAGGGCTTTAAAACAGATTGGAAAGCTAGTTTGTGAATGAACAGATAAAAAAAACATACTGTTGCATTTCTTTCTCCACTGAAAGGGCTTTGTTTGTGACCTGAGAATTGCTAGCTGTCCAATTGTGGTGGACTGTACTTCTTGACTGTGATTTGATAAGAAGTTAATATTTATTTTGTTTTTTCAAAAGAACTGCATGCATATATTTTTTGGAAGGTATTTATTTAAAAGAATTTTTAGTGTGTTATTTATATATCTATATAGATAGATGTGTATGTATATATATCCACGGAATCATAGAATCATGGAATCCTTGGATTTGGAAGGACCTCTGAAGGCCATCTATTCCAACTCTTCTAAAGTGAACAGGGACATCACAGCTAGTCTCCAGGGATGGGGCATTGTCCATTCCAGATGGAATGCTGCATCCAGATTCCTGTGTCCAGATGTGGAGTCCTCAGTACAGGAGAGATGTAGATCTGTTGGACCGTCTGCAGAGAAGGGCCACAAAAATGATCCATGGAATGGAACACCTTTATCTGTGAGAACAGGCTGAGAGAGCTGATGCTCTTCAGCCTGGAGAAGAGAAGGCTGCGAGGTGACCTGATGGTGGCCTGTCAGTATACAAAAGGGAGCTACAGGAGGGACAGATTCTTTAACAGGGTCTGTGGTGACAGAACAAGGGGAAATTTAGGTTAGATATAAGGAAAAGATATTTTGCAGTGAGGGTGGTGGAGCAGCGGAACAGGTTGCCTAGTGTTGTGGCTGATGCCCTATCCCTAGAGATTTCAAGGCGAGGCTGGATAAAGCCCTGGGCAACCTGATCTAGCTGGGTGTCTCTGTTCATTGCAGGGGAGTTGGACTGGATGGCCTTCAGAGGTCCCTTCCAAACCTAAGCATTCTATGATTCTATGATATGTATTTTTTAACTTGTTTTTTGAAGTCTCTAGTGACATTAGGAGCTGCTGCTGGAGGAATACTGGGAGGCTACCTTGTGGATAAAATTGGAAGAAAGCTGAGTCTGATGCTGTGTTCAATACCATACGTCTGTGGATATATTGTCATTATTTCCGCTCAGAACATATGGATGCTTTATTTTGGACGAATACTAACTGGCTTAGCCAGTGGAATTACTTCGCTTGTTGTTCCAGTAAGTAGAGCATCATTTCTGGTCGCGAGGTGGCTTGGGTGTAGTAACTCAGTAATTCTAGCAAAGGAAGCAGATTTAGAATAAACTGATTGTTATAGACTCATATTTTGCATGCTTTTAATAATGATGAAAATGTAAGTAAAAAAAAAGCTTTGCTTATTCTAGTAGCGCTTCTGTACTATGCGTTATTACAGTGATGTGCTTGTTCCAATTTTTCTTTTGTCTATTCATTGATAGAGGAGGGCCACAAAGATGATCAGAGGGCTGGAGAACCTCCCCTAAGGAGCCAGGCTGAGAGATCTGGGGCTGTTCAGCCTGGAGAACAGAAGGCTCCAAGGAGACTTTACAGTGGCCTTCCAGTACCTCAAGGGGGCCTACAGGAAGGCTGCGGGAGGGACTTTTCTGTAACAGCCAGTAGCAAGAGGACAAGGGGAAATAGTTGGAAGAGGGTAGATTTAGACTAGATATCAGGAAGAAACTCTTCATGTGTGCTGGTGAGACACTGGAACAGGTTGCCTAGTGAGGTTGTGGATGCCCCTTCCCAGGAAGTATTCAAGGCCAGGCTGGATGGGATTGTGAGCAACCTGGTCTAGAGGGAGGTGTCCCTGCCTATAGCAGGGGGGTTGGAACTAGATGATCTTAAAGATCCCTTCCAACCCAAACCTTTCTGTGATTCTGTGATTACTTCTGCTTATATTCTGCAATGGTCAAATCATATTTATCTCTTTACGTTTTGTATAAATAGTGGTAAAGGCTTAAGGTTTGCAATTAAACTATTATCACTTATAAATCCTAGTGCAATGGCAAGTAGAATCATAGAACAGAATCGTTTGAGTTGGATCTTTAAAGGTCATCTAACCCAGTTCTCCTGCAGTGAACCAGGACACCTACTGCTAGATCAGGGTACTCAGAGCCTGCTCTAACCTGACTTTGAATGTCTCCAGGGACAGAGCATCCACTAACTCTTATGAGCAACCTCTGAGCAGTGTCTGTGCTTCACTGCCCTTAAAAATTTTCTTATATCTAGTTTAAATCTCTCCTCTTTTAGTTTGAAACCATTTCTCCTTGTCCTGTCACAGCAGACCCTGCTGAAGAATCTGTCCCATTCTTTCTTACCCATCCCATTCTTACCTGCTGTAGGGAACCTGCTTTGGCAGGGGGGTTGGACTCGATGATCTCTGGAGGTCCCTTCCAACCCCTACAATTCTGTGATTCTGTGATTCTTACAGCCCTCCTTTCAATAGTGAAAGGTTGCTATCTGGTCTCCCTGGTGTCTACTCTGTAGTGACTTCTGCTTCCATTGAACTGTTATCTTCAGAATATTAACTTTTCTCATGTATTCAGAAATATCCTTGCAGCAGTATAACTGAAATAATTTGTGCTTGTCTTTCTTTTCTGGTATTATTTGACCTATTAGGTGATTTGACCTATGTGATGCCTGCTGTTCACACATGTTAAGATAAGAACCATTAATTTTGGATTTTCTGGAGAATGAAATAAAACCCAGTCTTTACAGTGAATTAAAAAGTTACAACTTAAGATTTGCAAAGACTTTTACGTGTGGCTTGGAGTTTGCGTTCCTGCAGACTATCCCAAGCACCAGAGTGTTCTGCAGTGATGCATTTGTTGTTGAATATGGCTAGCAAAGGAAGCCCTTACTAACACAAGTTTATTTATCTGTCAGAGCCTTAACTGACAGCATAAACATTCTTCTTAGGGTCTCCCTTTTTCTGGTTTTTTTTTTTTGTAATGCTAATATGTATTTATGAGATGATACTGTTCTACCCTCTCCATTTTGCTGTGGCTTTTTTTGAGGAGGGTTTCTAGGAAATACATCCGGTTTTCAGAAACAAATTATTTCTCTACTTCTTGATCCTACGTTGGATTGAGGTAATTATTAGACATTTTCTCCCTGTTTTAGGTATATATATCGGAAATATCTCATACAAATGTTCGTGGTATGCTTGGCTCTTTTGTCCAGTTGATGGTGGTGACTGGCATACTTGGAGCCTACACTGCAGGTATTGGGGTTAGGTCTCTGTAAAAAAGAATTAGTACACGTAATGAAAGAACTACACTAAGGAATTGAAAGCAAATGTCAATTCATTTCTACAACCGTTAATTTTGTTGTACAAATATTAATTCTTCTGGAACTGATTTTTTTTTTTTTTTCCTTTTTGTTGTGCAGGAATGATACTAAAATGGCACTGGCTGGCAGTATTATGTTCTTTTCCACCATGCGTAATGCTTTTGTTTATGTTGTTCATGCCTGAAACACCAAGATTTCTGCTGGATCAGAAGAAACACACAGAAGCGATAGCTGCTTTACAGTTTCTGCGAGGACCATTTGTGGACCATGAATGGGAATGCAGGCAAATTGAAGCTAATGTTGAGGAGGAGGTGATGAGAATCTGATTTACACTAAAGACAAAAAGTCTGAAAGTATACAGTGTAGTTTAAGGATTTTTATCATAGCTTAGTTAATAGCCTTTTCTACAGTGTGAACCTGTTCAATCACAAATGAACTTAAAAAGCAGTGACATTCAAATAATCTTTTTTCTTCTGCTTTCCAACTGCAACTGCCAGCAGTGTTGGATGCCACTGGTATGCATGAGTAGCAGTTGGGCTCATGATCTTACTGTGACGATAGATAGGTATGTTTTCTTATTGTAACTGGCAGTTTTATAGGATTGTTCAGCACCTCAAAAACTTATTTGCTATTGCACCACTTCAAAAGCAATCTTTAACCT